CAAGGAGGATGAGGCAGGAGGATCACAAGTTCGAGACCAGCCTTGGCTACACCTTGGGGCTGGGAAGGTGGCTCAGTGGTAGACCACTTGCATTGCATGCATGAGGCCCTGGGTTTGATTTCTCAGCACCACGTAAGCAAAAAGAAAAAAGCCGGAAGTGGTGCTGTGGCTCAAGTGGTAGAGCGCTAGCCTTGAGCTGAAGAGCTGAGGGAACAGTGCCCAGGCCCAGAGTTCAATTCCCACGATTGGACCAAAAAAAAGAAAAAAGAAAAGAAAGACCAAGAGAGGGTAAGGGAAGGCAACTGAAGTGTGTGTGCAGTGGAGGAGGTGGGGTCACCAGGTCTGTCCCAGTGTGGACAGAAATGCCACCCAGAAAGCAGGAGAGCGGACTGGAGGGCCTGCACTGGCCTCTGGAGACAAAGTGAACCCACAAAGTTGAACCCACAAGTAGACTTGGATGGATGTGGATTGGGTCCCCAGACAGCAAGCATTAGGGCAGGGGATAAGGTGGGGATAAGTGGTGATGGGGAGAAGGGCTTACTTGGACCCCCAGGGCAGAGAGTAGAGGACACTGGAGGCTCAAGCGTTCTGGTCCTGGGGATGATAAGGGGTGGAAGTTTGGATGTAGAACTCATAAAACTAAGCTGGGTGCCGGTGGCTCATGCCTGGCATCCTAGCTACTCAGGAGGCTGAGATCCGAGGATCATGGTTCAAAGCCAGCCTAAGCAGGAAAGTCTGTGAAACTCTTATCTCCAATAAACCACCAGAAAATTGGAAGTGGTGCTGTGGCTCAAGTGGTAGAGTGCTCGCCTTGAGCTGAAGAGCTGAGGGACAGCGCCCAGGCCCAGAGTTCAAGCCTCATGACTGACAAAATAAAAATAAAAAGAACTCACAAAACTAGAAGAAGGAAGTTAGGGGCTCCCCCAAACTGGGGTGTTGACTGCTGGGGTTTGAGGAGACAGGAAGTGGTGGTTTTGGGGCGAGGTCCTTTAGGAACTGACCAATCCAGCCCAAGACTGCTGCTGGGTTTGGACTTTGCCTGTGTGGCCCGCCTGCCAGTCCAGCCCCGCCCGACCTCAGCCTTTCTCAGCCTTCCTGGATGGAGCTGTTATCCAGCCCTAGATAGACCAGGAGAGTGAGGGAAGCAGAGCAGGGGATGAGGGACCTGTGGAGGCCCTAGCTGGGAGTGGACACATGGGGAAGTGAGGACTGACCACTGGAGACGATAAAAGCCGGCGCTCCTAAGCCATGGCTGGCCTCTGCCTCTTCATTGCTTCTGCCTGAAGCCAGTTTAGTCGGGCGGGCGGGAAACACCTAGGTCTGCTCTTCACCTGCCAGCCTGAGAAAAGACCGCTGGCCCCGCCTCCTCCTTCAGAGCCAGAATGTGGGGCTACCTGTCTCTTGTGCCCATCTCCCTGGCACTATGGGCTAGTGCTGGTGTCTGGCTGGTGTGAGTATTGAAGCCCAAGAGGGCTGCTTGGATCTGAGGGAGGAGGCTTGGGTATAGACCTTCAGGTCTGAGGGAGGAGGCTGGGAGCTATAGTTCTGGGTCTGAGATAGGGGGCTTGGGTCTAGACCCTTGGGTCTGAGGGAGGAGGCTGGGGTCTGGACCCTTAGGTCTGAGGAAGGAGGCTCTGGAAGCCCAAATCTGTGCTGTCAATGAGGGAAGGACCTGGCTGTTTGGAGAAAGGACCTTGAAAGCTCCCTCCTCACATCAGGGTGTTTCTCCACTGCAGTTTTGCCATTGCTGTGATCAACAGGGACGTGGACCTCACCAAAGACTTCCCCTTCATCAGGTGGTTGTGGGGAGAATACAGGGAGGAGATGGGAGGCTGGGGCTGGTGTCATGACCCACAGGATGACCTTCCATCTTCTGCAGCAAGTGTGGATCGTTCCCGCCCCAGAGCTGCATTTTCAGCCAGGTCCTCAACATAGGAGCTGCTATGGGTAAGTATTCCCTTCCTGCCAGCCTAGGCCAGGAGAGTTAACCCCAGCCTCCTCCCTCAGACCCAGAGGTCCAGGCCCCAGCCTCCTCCCTGAGACCCAGCCAGAATGTAAACCCCAGTTCCTTGGCCTTCACATCCAGAAGTCCAGGACCTTTGGCCCCAGTCACTGGCCAAGGCCATTTTATTCTCCTCTACCTCTGTACCAGTTCTACTGTCATCCCTGAGGAGGGTCACAGTCCTCCCTTTCCTCTTCTCTCAGTTGTCTGGATCTGCATTGTGCGTTACTACCAGCTCCGAGACTGGGGTGTCAAGACATGGCCCAACCAGCTGATCCTGTGGTCCGGGATCCTGTGTGCTTTGGGGACCTCGGTAGCCGGCAATTTCCAGGTAAAGCTGTCACTGGGTGCCCATCCAAGTTTGGCCAATAGAGGATGGACTACAGCGCCCTGCATTCCTTGCAGCCTAGATTGGCTAATTCTGGAGACTCTGCTTTGCAAGGCCTTGTGGGACTTGTAGTTCTACAACTCACAGGCATTCCAGGGCCCCACCCACATTCCAGCTTCTTCCACTGAGATGGACTCTCAGGCTTTACTGCTTGGAACTAGAGTCCTCCCAATCTCAGGCTCCCATGTAGCTGAGATGACTTGCACTGTCACCATGCACAGCTATTGCATGTTCTGCCAGGGTGATAGCCTTCCATTTCTGAGCCTCTCAAGTAGGTTGGAGTACAGGCACAAGCACCCAGGCACCTCATTTAACCTAGTCGGGTTGGTTCAGAGCTTCTTCCCTCCACCGCCCCCCATCCCACCCATCCCCACTGCTCTTTTCTTGCTGTTATAGACTTCCTCTCAATTCTCCTTTTCTCCAGGAAAAGAACCAGAAGCCCACACACATAACTGGGGCCTTCTTTGCCTTTGTCCTGGGTAACATCTACTTCTGGCTGCAGATCATTCTCTGCTGGTGGGTGAAGGGCCTGCCCCAGCCTGGGGCCCCCTGGATGGCTTGGTTGCGTCTGGGGCTCTGCAGCCTCTGTACCATGCTCATGGTGGCCAGTATCCTTGTTGGGAGTCGAGGGGGGGCTGGGGATGGCTCTACATCAACACCTTGGCTGTGTGTCCCTTCACAACTCTGGGTCTCTCTTGCTTGGGACCTCAGCTTCCTCTTGAGAAGCAGTGATTTGGAGACTCCCACCTGCCATGGAACCTTATCTCCATGTTATTTCCAGACACTTTCAGGGTTTCTTTTTAGAAGTTTATTTTTTTGACGGTTGTGGGGCCTGGATTCTGGTCCTGGGTGCTGTCCCTCAGCTCTTCAACTCAAGGCTAGTGCTCTACCACTAGAACCACAGCGCCACTTCCAGCTTTTTCTGTTTTGTTTTTTGCTTATGTGGTGCTGAGGAATTAACCCAGGGTCTCATGCATGAGAGGCAAGCACTCTACCACTGAGACAACTTCCCAGCCCCCAGGGGTTTCTTAAATTTTCAGATAGGTTGTGAGGTGCAGATAGGACCGCATCCCTGAGGTGCTGAGATCTGTGCCTGGCATGCTGATAAATACTAGGAAGATGCACAAATAGCAGTGTTTGGGGCACCCCCTACCCCCAGGGCTGTCATTGGGCTGGGTCAGGGGTGTAGAGTGGAAGCAGGTTCAGACACGGGGCCTCTTGTCTGAAGCCCTTTGTGCAGGTCCTCAGTGGAATTAGTGGCAGGCCGAAGGCTGCAGGATGGGAGTCTATTTCAAAATTGGCAAGTGGTAGGTGTTAGTGGCTCTCGCCTGTAATCTCAGCTAGCTACTCAGGAGGCTGAGATCTGAGGATCAAGGTTCAAAGCCAGTCCAGACAGGAAAGTGTGTGAATGAACCTCTTATCTCCAATGAACCACCAACTGTGGTTCCAGTGATAAGAGCACCAGCCTTGAGTGAACACTAAGGGATAGAGCGCCAGACTGAGTTTAGGCCCCAGTACCCTCCCCCACACAAAAGACAAACATGTGAGAACGGAAAGATCTAGAATCCCTGTAGGGAATATAGGTGAGAGGGCTATCGCTGAGGTGGCAGCCAGCCTGGGTGCCACTTGGACTAGGACATGTGGACACCTCTGGAAACCTGGAGATGACCTTGGCCTAGATCAAGGTCACACCTGGGCTCCTGGATCCTTTGAAGTGGTGTCTGGTCCTTGACCTAGATGTGAAGTGCTGGTCCTGTACTCCTCTAGGCTGCGGTCTACCTCTGCTGCCTTTGAGTGGGCCGTGGCCATGCTGCTCTTCCTCCTCTTTGGCCTCTTTGCCGTGGACTTCTCGGTTCTGGAAGGCTGCACCCTGAGTCTTCAGCCCTTGCGGAGTCTCACGCCCAGGCCCTCAGCCTCCCCAGGCCTCCACTCCCTACCCCTGGCCTCCCCCCCAACCCCTGAGACCCTGAAGCCTTGAAGACCCACCTGCCGCAGACACTCTGACTGGGGGGCGGGGGGAAGGCCTCACCCCTCACCCTCACGGGAGAAGAAATGGGGCTGACCTTTGGTTGTTGCCTAGATGAACTAGTAGGGGTATCTGCAACAGGCCAGGAAGGGGGTCCATTTCTATTTCTGTCCCGGAGCCCGTGGATGGGTCTGTGGGAAGCTTGGGACACCAGGTGCGGCTGGCACGGGAGCACCCACCCGCGCCTGCCCCGTGGCCGCTGTCAGGGCCACCCTGAGAGACCAAGGCCAGCCAGCCCTCCCTGATCAGGCTATTTTATTATTATTTTTTGTGGTTGCCGCCGGCGGAATCAGAGACACGGACGCAGGCAGGATCACGCGAAACCAGAATTCCTTCCGGGAGAGCAAATCCGTACAGAAGGTCTTGGGGGAGGGTGAAGGACTCAGGAGGGGGGAGGAGGGCCCAGGAAGGGGGGGTTGGGGATGACTCAGGGTCAGGGCCCTGTCCGGATCTGCTAAGCCACCCCAACCAGCTCCCCTCCCTCCCCCACCCCACCCGCAGAGATTGATCAATAAATAAAATAAATAAAATAGAAACAGCTCCCCGCCCCCTTTTTTTGCCGTAGATTTCCCCCCACATTGGGCACGACCCCTAGAACCCCATCCCTGCAGGGTGAAGCCGGGTTTTGTGTGTCGCCCCCCTCCCGACATATTCCTTGGGCCTTATTTACAGATTCACAGTTGGGGAGGGGCAGGGAAGGCGGGTAGAGGGGGCTCCCCTCCTTCCCTGGCCCCCTGGCGTTAGGGCAAAGGGGTCCCATTGGTAGCTAGGAGCTTCTTGTCCTTGGGGGGGCCTCGGCGCGGGGAGCTGCTTAGCTCAGGGTCTGGGTGGCTGGAGGGGGGCTGCAGGCTTCGGGGCGGAGCGCCAGCAGGCCGGGTCTGGGCTCCGTTCTTCTCATCTGTGGGAACAGGAAGGGAGGAAGGAGGTGTCTGAGTATTCTCCGTACTCCCCAAAGTCCCAGTGGAGACCTCCTCAAAACAAATCCTCCTGTCAGTCAGTGCTACTTCAAGCCCTGGAGATGGCCTCTGGGGACAACGATCCACAGAGCCTGGACTTTCTTTCCTAGGTAGGGGCCGCACCCCAAGATTGTGGGTTTGAGGCCTACCTGGGCTGCATGGCAAAACTCTATCTCACAGGTGCACACGGGACAAGGTGAAGAACACCCAGTCGTGGGTCTTGGACCTCCAGCTTCCAAGATGCTAAGGCTAGCTTTCCTTGGCAACAGGGCCCATCAGGGCCTTATGTGCTCTCTGGTTGCCCCTAGCAACCATGAGGGAGATCAAGGTTTCTCACCCAGCATGCCTTTCGATGGCCTCTGGCTTTGAGGGCCTTTCTGAGAGGGGCAGAAGTTTGAAGACACCTGTGCTCCACCTCCCTGATCCCACCCCCGCCAAGTTGCCCCTAATGTCCCCGTTCCCTCCCAGTTTAGACAACCAAAGATGTCTTCCTACACTGTTAAGTGTCTCTTGGGAGGCTGTGGCAGACCAAATAATGGCACTGTGCCCCTCAAGGTGGCCACACCCCAGCACTGACATATCTTTCCTGTGAGGAAGGGTTCATCTCTTTAGGTGAGGAGACTTGCTTGGATTATCTGTGTAGACCCAACTCAGTCATGAAGTTTTTTTGTTTTTTGTTTTATTTTTTGTTTGTCTTGGGGCTTGAACACAGGGCCTGGCGCTGTCCCTGAGCTTTTTTACTCAAAGCTAGCCTTCTAGCACTTTGAACTGCAGTGTCACTTCTGGTGGTTTTATTGGAGATACGAGTCTCATAAACTTTCCTGCCCCAGCTGGCTTTGAACCACGATTCTCGGATCCCAGCCTCCTGAGTAGCTAGGATTACAGGCTGGCTCAAGGCTAGTTATGAATTCTTTTTTTTTTTTTCTTCCCAGTTCTGGATCTTGAAGTCAGGGCCTGGGCACTGTCCCTCAGCTTCTTTTGCTCAGGCTAGCACTCTACCACTTGAGCCACAGCTCCACTTGCGGCTTTTTCTGTGTATGTGGTATTGAGGAATCCAACCCAGGACTTCATGCATGCCAGGCAAGCACTCTACTGCTAAGCCACATTCCTAGTTATGAGTTCTTTCTTATTTATTTATTTATTTGTTGGTTGGTTGTGGGTCTTGAACTTTAGGCCTGGCTGCTGTCTCTCAGCTCTTCAGCTCAAGGCAAGTGCTCTATAACTTGAGCCACAGCACCACTTCCAATTTTCTGGTGGTTCATTGGAGATAAGAGTTTTACAGCCCAGGCTGTAACAAGTGTGAGCCACTGACACCCAGCACTAGTTATGAGTTCTTCAATGACCTAGCCAAGGTCAGAGCCAGAATAGTGCTTCTGGCTGACTTCCTGGAAGAGCCACAAGCAAAGAAGTATGGCTAGAGCCAGGTACCGGTGGCTTACACCTGTCATTCTAGCTACTCGGGAGGCTGAGATCTGAGGATTGCAGTTTGAAACCAGTCTGGGAAAAAAAGTCTCCATGAGACTCTTGCCTCTAATTAACCACTCTGAAACCAGAAGTGGCACTGTGGGCCAAAGTGGTAGAGCACTAGCCTTGAGCAAAAGAGCTCAGGAATAGCATCTAGGCCTGAGTTCAAGCCTCATGACTAACATAAAAAAAGCGTGTTCTGCCATGGGGTCTCTGAGGCAGGAAGCCCTGGGGATCCTGATGTCAGCCTTGGGAACACTGGGAGGGGCGGGGCATCTGCACTGTAAGGCTTATAGGGTGACAGCCTGTATAGTTTCCACTTGTTTGGGCATGGTGGCCCTAGGAACCTAACCTGGGGACAATTCTAGTCTGTCGTGAATCTCTGGTCCTCAGGGTGAAGACCTAACCCTGGAGCTCAGTGTACCCCAGTGACTAGGGCACCTGGAGGCAGGGCGTCCTTGTCCTGAGAGGGTCTAGGATGGAGAGGCCAGGCCGGCAGATGACTGCCCTCTGGTGGCCACAGTGTGCTTGGCGCTCTCATTGCCAGGATCCCGCCTTGGAATTCTATAATAAAGTCAATGATGGTCAGGGCAAGCATGTCAAATGTCACGGCTGAACTCAATGCCATCTTCAAGGTGCTGGTACTGAGGCTGGGCCTTTGAGAGGTCATGATTAGTGATTAGCCAAGGTTCATGTGCTTCTTTTTTATTTTTATTTTTGCCAGTCCCATGGTTTGAACTTGGTATGGGCTCTGTCCCTGGGCTTTTGCTCAAGGCTAGCATTCTACCACTTGAGCCACAGCATCACTTCCAGCTAAGAGTGTCATGGACTTTTCTGCCTGGGCTGGCTTGGAACTGTGATCCTCAGATCTCAGCCTCCTGAGTGGCTAGGATGACAGGTGTGAGTCACTGGTGTTGGGCTTCATGGGCTTCTACATAAACCTCAGAGATCCCACCTTTCCACCCCATAAAGACCCAGTAAGAAGGTGAGCAACCCTCTATGGACCAAGAAATGAACAGGTCCTTGTCAGACACTAGATCTGTAATTTGATATGGGAACTTTCCAGACGTCAGACTGTGAACAATAATTTTCCCTTTTAGGATTACAGATGTGCTCTACCGGCACCCAGCAACAATAAATTGATCCCAGAAGCTGGGTGCTGGTAGCTCACCCCTGTAATCCTAGCTACTCGGGGCTGAGATTTGAGGATTGCGGTTCAAAGCCAGCCTGGGCAGAAAAGTCCCCGTGAGACTCTTATCTCCAATTAACCACGCAAAAACTGGAAATGGGGGCTGTGGCTCAAGTGGTAGAGTGCTAATCTTGAGCACAAAGAGGCTCAGAAACAGCACCCTGGCCCTGAGTTCAAGCCCCATGATGGATAAAAAATAAATTAGGTCCCAGAAACACCTCCACTGTTCCAGGAAAACCAAGGTTGGCTGGTCACTTTCCTGCTAAGTGTAGGACAACTTTAGTGGCAAAATAATCTACTTCCCTCCTGCCCACCCCCCAAGGCAGTGGCCACTCCAGAGATAGGTCTCTGGGGGTGAGGGGTGGCTGAGTTGTCTCTTCTCAGTCCCCAACCTCTGGCTCACAACAATGCAGGTGGGCCTTAGCAGACAATGGCCAGAGAGACCAGGAGGAAGGCCCGGCTTCCCCACTGCGGAAGCCTTGTCTCTACCAAGCCACCCATGTGTGTCTGCTGCCAGTAGCCCCACACTCACCTGCTAGGGCCTGCACGGAGGGCTGGTCATGAGTGCTCAACAGCTGGGCCTGAATGGTCTCCACCACTCGCTTGAACCGTCGGCTGGGACCTGGGATGGGAGGGCAGGCAGTACTCAGTGAGGTGGGGTAGGGAAGTAGGGCCAGCTTCCCATCAAGCCCACAGCACCTCCTCTATCTGCCTCATTAGTGCTTCCCCCCCCCGTTCTGCTGGAACCCACATCAATAGTTTGGAGAGGAGAGGTTTCTGTTTGTCATTTAGGGAATGCCTTAAACTCAGATACCTTAAAAAACAACAGGTCAATAGGTATTGGTTTCTGTGCAAATAGGTTTCATTGCTTATTCATTAATGATGCTGTGGAGAACCAGAAATATAAGGAAAATAACTGGGAGAGAGGAAAAACCTTGAAGTGAGAAGAGGTTCTACATGTCAAGTATTTAGAGGGAGAAAAAAAATCCTGTCAGCCATGTAGAATCCTGCCCAGCCTGATTTATTTATTATTTATTTATTTTTGTCAGTCATGGGGCCTGAAATCTGGGCCTGAGTGCTGTCCCTCAGCTCTTCAGCTCAAGGCCAGTGTTCTACCACTTGAGCCACAGCGCCACTTCTGGCTTTTTTCTTTTTTTGCTTATGTGGTGCTGAGGAATCGAACCCAGGGCCTCATGCATGCAATGCAAGTGGTCTACCACTGAGCCACCTTCCCAGCCCCTCCATGAGACTCTTAGCTCCAATAAACCACTAGAAAACCAGAAGTGGCACTGTAACTCAAGCGGGAGAGCGCTTACCTTGAACTGAAGAGCCCAGGGACAGCGCCCAAGCCGAGTTCAAGCCCCATGACCAACAAAAAAAAAAAGGTGGGGGGGACTGGGAAGGTGGCTCAGTGCTAGAGTGTTTGCCTTGCATGCAGGAGGCCCTGGGTTCGATTCCTCAGCACCACATAAGCAGAAAAATCTGGAAGTGAGGCTGAAGCTCAAGTGGTAGAGCGCTAGTCTACAGCTGAAGATCTGAGGGACATCGCCCAGGCCCAGAGTACAGGCCCCGCGACCGACAAAAAAAAAAGGTGAAAAGGACAATAAATTCGTAATCCTTGACTATCCAAACTCCCACTGTGGAGACTCAGGAACCAAGATGTGCGGCCTGGAGTTACAAGCTCTTGAAATTGCAACTGAGCAGCTGCAGGAAGTTCTACAATGGATTAGTGATGCCTGCACTGAGTAAGGGACTGATCTTTTTTTTTTTTTTTGGGGTCCAGTCGTGGGTCCTGAACTCTGGGCCTGGGTGCTGTCCCTCAGCTCTTCAGCTCAAGGCTAACACTCTACCACTTGAGCTACAGCACCACTTCCAGCTTTTTTCTTTTTGCTTATGTGGTGCTGAGGAATTGAATCCAGTACCTTATGCATGCAAGGCAAACAGTCTACCTCTGAGCCATCTTCCCAGCCCCAAGGGACTGATCTTTGAGGATAGCTGGCTTTGTGTGTGTTTGCCCTTCTGAGCTAGGATCTTAGGATAGTGCATAGTGTAAGGAGGTCTGGGATGAACCTCACGGGTCACTGAGGGCCTTCACGACAGAGTTCTTTCCTGTAATATGGGAGATTAATAAAAATCTAATTACCCACCTCAGTGGCTGCTTGAAAGCTTCCATGATCACCCATACTTGTAGAGAGAATGAGGAAGGAGAGAATGTTGCTGGGGGCTGCAGCACTCCAGTCCAAAGAGACTCACCAGAGATGAGGGTGAAGGTGACGGAGTAGACGCCACCCCCACTGCTGCCATCTCGACGGGGTGAGGGCTCTGGGCCGTCGGAGGAGCTGATGTCCACCTGGAAGCGGACAGGCTTCTGGAAGACGGAGGGGCCGCCGCTGGCCTTGTACTCAGCCCTGAAGCTGGTTTGTGACAATACACTGTGACTCAGGCTGGGGATCTGAAAGGGGGCAGGGGACACAGACGGATGGGGTAAATTGAGGGAATGGAGAACCACTGTAGACACAGCTCGGCCCAAGAAACTACAAGATCCGGAGGTAGGGGTGGGGGGAAAGGCCCCTCCTCAGACTTGTAGTTTCTTCTGCCCTACAAAAATGATAGGGGAGGAACTGAACTAACTAATCACAATGTCCTGGGTCTTGAGAGCTCCAACAGGCTTCAGGACCACCTAGCACAGCCTGTGACCTCCACAGCTACTGCATATCTATCCTTCCATGGACTGGAATCTCAAGTCCCACCATCCCTAGAGTAAAGGACGACTCCCCAATGATCTCCTGCCAGCTGGGACCAGGTGTCAGGGGAACTCTGGCTCAACCATCTTCCACTGAGATCTTGGAAACTGACACATGTTCCGTCTTCAGGGTCCAGTCATCTTTTTCTGACCACATCCACCCCCCTCACGGACCAAACTACAAATCCTGTGAACCCTCACAGGAAGTCAAGCCAGACAGTGCTGGGGTCAGGGGTTAACCCCTGGGTGCTGGGTGCTGTGTGGGCCCCCAAGGCTCACCGACAGGAAGGCATGGACGATGTCCGCTTTGATGCTGCTGAGGGGTTTGTCCTTTAGCACGAGGAATATCTGTTCTTCTTTGTCCAGGGAGATGAAGTTCCCAAACCAAGAGCGCTTGGCCAGCCTGGGTGGGAGAGGCCAGGGAGAGGGGGGCCAGGATGGCACCACAGGCTGGACCCCATTCCCATTCTCTATTCCCTGTGGCACTCACTCTGTTTTTGTTTTTGTCAGTCATGGGCCTTGAACTCACGGCCTGGGCACTGTCCCTGAACTCTTCAGCTCAAGGCGAGCACTCTACCCCTTGAGCCACAGTGCCACTTCCGGATTTTTCTGCTTATGTGGTGCTGAGGAATCGAACCCAGGGCCACATGCATGCAAGGCAATCATTCTTACCACTGAGCCACTTTCCCAGCCCCGGCACTCACTCTGGAGAGGACTCTGGCGTCAAACTGGACATCTCCTCAGCGGTGGGGACTAGAGGGGAAGGGGAGAGAAAGTGGACAAAGCTCTGTCCATCATCCAGTGGCCAGCAGTCACCCCCTTTCCAGGAGGCTGGACCCCAGAGGACTCAGACTCGACCCCCCCATGGCTAAACCCCAACTGGCCTGCATCCTGGTCCTGGGGAGGCCTCTCAGCCTGGGCCATGCACCTGGGGCAGGAAGGCTGGTCCTTCCAGCAGGCTCCGCCCCCAGATGCAGGACCTCTACCTCCTCTCCCCCAAACCCGGGTCCCTTTTGCCTCCTTCCTCCCTGAGGCCCCCACGTTAGGACTCATCCCTCAGTACCCCAAGCCTTGCACCCCAGACACCCATACCCTGCATTTTGCGCCGGTGGAAGCGAGGGGAGCCCAGGAAACTGTTGCGGATGGAGTTGAGACGACTCCTCCAGGCTGCTCCCCCGACGCCGCCGCCTGGGCTGGGAGGTGGCGTCGTCCCCGGGGTCCCAGTGGGGCTGGCCCGGGGTGTGTGCAGGGGTGAGTGCAACGGAGTGCCCCCGGAAGAGCGCGGGGAGCCTGGGGGTCCGGGCAGGGGTGTGGAACGGGCACTGGGAGGAGGGGGCTGCTCCCCGGCACCCCCGCCTCTGGGGCCCCGAGAAGGCAGAGTCTGCGTTTTGGAAGTTGGGGAGCCTCCACCCCTGGCCTCGTCTCCAGCGCCGGGCTCAGGTGAGAAGGAGAAGACTGGACTCTAAGGAAAACGATCTGGTGAGATGGACTACAACTCCCATAAGATTCTAGGAGCATCACCTGCCCATGCTTGCAGGAGCTGGCCCCGAAGCATGCTGGGACATGTAGTCCAATCAGGGTTCCCCACTCCCATCCTCCCAGGTAATCCAGGGGGTTAACCCAGATTGCCCACGGTAGGCAAGGTAGCGGGGTAGGGTGTGTGTGTGGGTCTTCTGCTAAATAAATAAGCAAGTTTTCCAAACACCCAATAGAGCCCTCTCTGATGAGGATTTGGGCATTCTAGCCTCGTGTGACTCGGGCCTGGTTTGGCTCAATTTTTGCTGACCCATAAACTTTACCCCTTCACCCCGATTAATACCCTGGGGACCTGGCCTTACCCTTGGGCTGCTCAGAGGGCTGGAGGACAGACCAGTGGAGGCTCCACTCACACTGCGGGACCTGTTTCCAGGGCAGATTGACATAAAGACATGAGCCCACAGGAGGCCAGAGGACTTGCCCCATGCGGGCTTGGTGGGGGGGTACAGGGGCTCCCACCTCTGGCTGTGCTGGGCCATCTCTAAGGCCCGTCTGGTGGGCACTGGGGATCCACCCCCGCCAGCATCCGTGATGCTCAGGACTTCCATGGACTTGCGCTCGGGTCTCCGTTTGCCGTGCCGGCTCAGCATGGGGGAGTCCACACGCTTCCGAGGTGGGTCTGAGAGAGGGGAGAGTAAATTAGATTGAGCTTCTTCAACAGATGAGGAAATTGAGGTCCGGAGCAGAGAGAGGAAGTGATAAACACTCATCTGGGTGAACACAGGACCTCAGGGCCTGCTGTTTATTTTGGCCCTCAGGAATCCTGGAAGTCCACCTTTCCAGCCCTGTCTTCTCACCGGCATCATTGCGGGGAGGCAGGTCCTGGTCTTCACAGCTGGGATACCGCTCCTTCCGATCCAAGAGCAAATAATAGATCATCTTTTCTTGGTTTTCCCTGAGAGAGAGCAAGGTGGGAGGCAGGTAAGAGGACCTGAGGTCTCACCCGCTCCCGCCTGCCTGGATCTCTGCTCAGTCCACCCAGCAGTTCAGCCTTTAGTGCTGTTTTCCTAGGTGACCCACAAAGTTGGTTTCCTATCTTGGTTCAGCGCACATTTCAGCTTTGCTTTGCATTTCCAGTCCATCTCTCTGCATTTTTTTTTTTTTTGGTCGGTTGTGGGGCTTGAACTCTGGGCTTGGGCGCTGTCCCTCAGCTCTTCAGCTCAAGGCGAGCTGCTTGAGCCACAGCGCCACTTCTGGTTTTCTAGTGGTTTATTGGAGATAAGAGTCTCACGGACTGGGGCTGGGAAGGTGGCTCAGTGGTAGACCACTTGCATTGTATGCATGAGACCCTGGGTTCGATTCCTCAGCACCACATAAGCAAAAAGAAGAAAGCCGGAAGTGGCGCTGTGGCTCAAGTGGCAGACTGCTAGCCTTGAGCTAAAGAGCTGAGGGATAGCACCCAGGCCTAGAGTTCAGGCCCCACAACCGGACAAAAAAAAAAAAAAGAGTCTCACGGACTTTTCTTGCCCAGGCTGACTTTGAACCATGATCCTCATATCTCAGCCTCCTGAGTAGCTAGGATTACAGGCATGAGCTACTGGCACCTGGCTCTCTGCATTTTTTTGGGGGGGGAGGGGTTGGTTGTGGGACTTGAACTCTGGGCCTGGGTGCTGTTCCTGAGCTCTTTAGCTCAAGGGTAACAGTCTACCACTTGAGTCATAGTGCCACTTCCTGTTTTCTGGTGTTTTTTTGGAGATAAGAGTCTCACGGGGACTTTCCTGAGTGGGCTGGCTTTGAACCATGATCCTCAGATCTCAGCCTCCTGAGTAGCTAGGATGACATACAAAAGCCACAGTGCCCAGCTTCTCTCTGCATTTCTTGCCCCACTCTGTCCAGTCTGCAGGTGCCCAAGGCCCTGGAGTCTGGCTCCCTCTGCTGGCCACTGTGGGAACTGCCTCCTCTGGCTCCAGGAGGGTAGGGCTCATGAGCTGGGGTGTGTCTGTTTTGGGGGGGGGTTATAGAGAAATGAGGTGGGGTTTGAGGAGGGGTGGAGATCTTACTCCTCACTTCGCAGCTCCCGGTGCAGCCGCTCGCGGTCCCTGAAGCAGCCCAGCGACGCCATGCTCTCCAGGACGTCCGGGTCCAGCTCTCCGTTTGAAGGCAGGCTCCGCATGGCTACCCTGCGGCCCGGGGCTGGCTCCAGGCACGGGTCTGGCTCGTGCTTCCCACCTCTGGGACAGGGGGAAAAGCCTGTGCCAACGGGCCTGTGGCATCCTAGATGCCGTGCCCACCCAGCATGCCCCTCTCTTCGGATCCCAGGAGTCCTGGCCTTGTCCCTGCCTCCTCTCTGCTTGTCAACCCCCCCTTCCTCCCCAGCCCAGTTGTCCACATTCCCTTTACTCACAGGTACCATGGGTGTTTCTGAATTTGCTCCAGCTGTGAAGGGGCGGGTCATAGAGAAGCAGAAATCAGGTCACATAGTAGGTGTACAATTGAAAGCTGATTTGGGGGTGTGTGGTGTGTGATGCTCCTAACCATTAGACTCCCCATCAGGGCAGGATGATGCACACATCTTGCCCTGGCAGCGACAGCGCATCCCTACTCCTGTGCTTTGGTGGTGGGACCAGTCCAGTCCGGTCTGGGACCTCTCTCCCCACGACCTTCTCTCACTTCCCCGCTCTCATTCCCTTGCACTCACACTGAGCCTCTTTTCCGGTTCCACCTCGATCATTCCCCTCAGGAGACTCTGGCAGTCAGGAGGAATGAAGTGGGGCATGTGGAAGACGCCTCGTTTCACCTTCTCCAGCAGCTGGCGAAGGTTGTCATCATCAAAAGGCAGAGCTCCCTGCACCGGAAATGACAGCACCTCTGCTTATATGCACACGGCTCAGGATGGCCTGGACCCAGGTCCAATCTTCAACCAACACAGGCAGCAGAGTGCAGGATTTGTGGGTAGGGAAACTGAGGTACAGAGAAGCTGGGTAGTTTACCCCAGGCCTCCTAGGATGTAACAAGTGGCAGCACAGAGATTTGCAAGGAGCAGCCTGATGCCAGAGAGAAAGAGGGTTTTCCCTCCTGGACGCCAGTGGCTCATGCCTGTCATCCTAGCTACTCAGGAGGCTGAAATCTGAGGATCAAGGTTCAAAGCCAGCCTGGGCAGGAAAGGCCGAGAGATTCTTATCTCCAATAAACCACCAGAAAACCCGAAGTGATGCTGTGGCTTAAGTGGTAGAATGTTTGCCTTGAGCTGAAGAGTGCAGGGACAGCACCCAGGCTCAGAGTTCAAGCCCCACAACGGACAAAAAGCAAAACAAAACAAAACACTCAGAACTTTCCTGCCCGAGTTGCCTTCAAACCACAATCCTCAGATTTTTAGCCTCCTGAAGTAGCTAGGATTATAGGTATGAGCCACTGACATCTGGTTTCCTGATATTTTGGGGGGGGGCATCTGGGGCTTGAACTTAGAGCCTGGACACTGTCCCTGAACTTCTTTGCTCAAGGCTTGTACTCTACCACTTGGGCCACAGCTCCATTTCTAGTTTTTTCTGTTTATGTGGTACTGAGTAATCAAACCCTGCTAGGCAGGCACTCTACCCACATTCCCAGCCTCCTGACTTTTTTTGTTGGTCCTGGGGCTTGAACTCTGGGCTTGGGCGCTGTCCCCATACTCTTCAGCTCAAGGAGTGCTCTACCACTTGAGCCACAGAGCCACTTCCGGTTTTCTAGTGGTTTATTGGAGATAAGAGTCTTACGGATTTTCCTGTCCAGGCTGGCTTTGAACTGTGATCCTCAGATCTCAGCCTCCTGAGTAGCTAGGATGACAGGGTGAGCCACCGGCATCCAGCTCTGACTTTTTGTTGTTGTTGTTGTTGTTGTTGTTTGTTGATCATGAGGCCTGAACTCTGGGCCTGGGCGCTGTCCCTCATTTGTTCTGCTCAAGGCTAGCACTCTACCACTTGAGCACCACTTCCAGCTTTTTTCTGCTTATACGGTACTGAGGAATTGAACCCAGGGCTTCATGCATACAAGGCAAGCACTTTACCATTGAGCCATCTTCCCAGCTCTCTGACTGGTTTTTGAGATAAGGTCTGTGTAAATTTTTTTTCCTGGACAAGCCAGGAACCATGATCATCTCACCTCTTCCTCCCCAGAAGCCGGGATTACAGACAGGTGCCACCACACCTGGCCCTGAAAGGTGAGTATTTTACAGGCAAGAACCCAGGATGGGACAAAAGACATCCTTGCTCTCTCATGGGGCTCATGTTGCAAATCCAGAAGCAAACAGCTAGCGACATAATCACAAGAGCAGGAAGGGAGGCTTCTCTTGGGAAGTAGGGAGCAGAGACCCGAATGAGCCCTAGATCAATGACCAAAGAGCAATGTCCTTGAAAGAGGATATGACTTGGGAGAAAGAGAGCAGAGGCTTGCATCTCACATTTGCAACAGCAGCCCCAGGACATCGGTGAGAAAGGACTTAACTCCTGTGAAGAATAGAGAATGGTACGTGCACCCCAGGGTGATGGGAAGGACCTCGAGAGGGTGGGGATGGGATAAGGGGTGAGCCTTGCAGTGTCCCAAGAACAAGTTGTCTGTGTCTTCACGTGACCTTGCAAAGAGTGTCAAAGAAAGCATATGAAGACACCCAACAGCACCAGGTCCTGAGTTCAAACCCTAGTATCACCAAAAAATAAATGACCAAGCAAGGCTGCCCAGTGGCTTCACATCTGTCATCCTAGCTACCCAAGGTGTTGAGAACTGTGGTTTGAAGCCAGCACACACAGGAAAGTTTGTGAGACTCTTATCTCTAGGGAACCACCCAAAAGCCAGAAGTGGAGCTGTGGCTCAAGTGGTATAGTGCTCTCCTTGAGCAGAAAAAGCTCAGGGACAACATAGAGGCTCTGAGTTCAAGCCCCAGGACCGACACACACACAAAATAAATACATAAGTTAAAGAAATAAATAAGTCTAGAGAGGTTCTGGGAAGGTGGCTCAGTGGTAGAGTGCTTGTCTTGCATGCATGAGGCCCTGGGTTCGATTCCTCAGCACCACATAAGCAAAAAGAAAAAAGCCGGAAGTGGCGCTGTGGCTCATAGTGGTAGAGCACTAGCCTTGAGCAGAAGAGCTGAGGGACAGTGCCCAGGCCCAGAGTTCAGGCCCCACAACCAGACCAAAAACAAACAAACAAAAAGAAGTCTAGAGAATCACGTAGTGAGCAACAGAGGAATAATTCCTACAAAAGAGCAGTCCTGAGAGCCAGTCACAAAACGGCCACTGCCACAGGCCCTTCCGGCACTCCCATCTGGGCATGCCTTGCACATGTCCCGCCTCACAATCTGGTGGCTGGAAATTTGGCTGTGGAACAGAGCTGGAGGGCCACCGCCTTGGTCGGTTGGCAAAACCTCATCTAAGAGCACTTAAGTCATAAATGCAGAGATGAGCAGGGAGGTGAGGATGCTGCCTATGGTTCTGTGCCCCTAGGGGTGGGAATGTTCTAGAAATGGAGGAGGAGGGCCAGGGGCAACCTTACCACGAGCAGGGCAAACAGAATGACACCACAGCTCCACATGTCTGCCCGGCGGCCGTCATACTTCTCCCCCTGGAAGGGAGGGAGAGTCATGGCGTCTCCATCCTGGCCAGGCCCCCAGAAGCCTTCATGCCCCCCCCAATACCCTCCCCACTCCCCCTGCCCTTCACTGACCTTGATCACCTCTGGGCACGCATAGTGGGGGGACCTGACAGACGAGAGAGTGTGATGAGTCTCCAGGCAGCTGCCCACCCTGCCTCCAGACACCATGGCCACCACCACTCACCCGCAGCTGGTCTCCAGGAGGCTGTCCCCCACCTGCAGGGATGCCATGCCAAAGTCTGCGATGCGGATGTTGTTCTTCTCATCCAGCAGCAGGTTCTCTGGCTTCAGGTCCCTGTGGCTGAGATTGGGAGGAGGGGAGAGTGGAGGTGGGGAAGGGCTCATCCTCAGGGCCCTCCCCCAGGGAGACCCTCCCCACACAGGCACCTTCTTGTGACAATCAACAAGCATGCTAAGGAAACCTTGTGTGTTCAACTTGCAGATCTCTCTCTCTCTCTCTCTCCATCCTTTTTTTTTTTTCTGGTCATACTGTTTTCCTTTTTGTGCTGGTCCTGGGGCTTGAACTTAGGGCCTAGGCATTATCCCTGAGCTTTCTGTGCTCAAGGCTAGTGCTCAAATTTTTTTTTTCCCAATCTTGGGGCTTGAACTCAGGGCTTGGGCATTGTCTTTGAGCTTCTTTTTCTCAAGGCTAGCACTCTACCACTTGAGCCACAGCACCACTTCCAGCTTTTTCTGTGTATGTGATAATTGTGGAACCAAACCCACGGCTTCATGCATGCTAGGCAAGCACTCTACCACTGAGCCACCTTCCCAGCCCTAGTGCTCAAACTCTTGAACACATAGCTCCACTTCTGGCTTTTTGGTAGTTCATTGTAGGTAAGTCAGTATCTCACAAATGTTCCTGCCTGGGCTGATTTTGAATCGTAATCCTTAGATCTCAGCCTCCTGAGTAATTAGGATGACAGACATGAGCATCTGGTGCTCCGTTTTCTTTGTTGTTTGAGGCAACGATTTTGCTTTGTAAGCCCAGACTGGCCTCTGAGTCACAGTCCTCCTGTCTTCACCTCCAAAGTGATGGGACTACAGGTGTGTATTACAGTGCCTGGCTGAATTTGGCACATTTTACCATATCTCCCCCACTGCATATTGTCTCCCCCTGGGATTATTTTGTCAGCAAACCCAGATATATGAATAAGGATTTTGGGGATAAGTAGGAGGCTGAGATCTGAGGATCAAGATTTGAAGCTAGCCTAGGCAGAAAAGTCTGTGAGAGGCTGGGCACCAGTGGCTCATACCTGTAATCCTAGCTACTCAAGAGGCTGAGATTTGAGGATCAAGGTTCAAAGCCAGCCTAGGCAAGAAACCCCAAGAGACTTTTTTTTTTGGGTCCAGTTGTGGGGCCTGAACTCTGGGCCTGGGTGCTGTCCCTCAGCTCTTCAGCTCAGGGCTAGCGCTCTACCACTTGAGCCATAGCGCCACTTCCGGCTTTTTTCTTTTTTCTTATGTGGTGCTGAGGAATCGAACCCAGGGCCTCAGGTATGCAAGACAAGCGCTCTACCACTGAGCTACCTTCCCAGCCCCCAAGAGACTTTTATCTCCAATAAATCACTCAGAAAACTGGAAGTGGTGCTGTGGCTCAAGTGGTAGATGGCTAGCCTTGAGCAGGAAGAGGCTCAGGGACAATGCCCAGGCACAGAGTTCAAACCCTAGGACCAGCAAAAAAATAAATAAAAATAAAAATATTTCCATACCAAGTAATAGTAATAATACAATAACAGTAGTAACAATAATAAATATTGCTACCCAAGCTGTTCACTGGGCCCTCCAGCTCTTGGGCCAAAGTCATGCATGCAAGGGGCAGGCCGTGGGCATGAGCAGTTTCTTTTTTTTTTTTTTGGGTCCGGTCATGGGGCCTGAACTCTGGGCCTAGGCACTGTCCCTCAGCTCTTTAGCTCAAGGCTAGTGCTCTACCACTTGAGCCACAGCGCCACTTCCAGCTTTTTTCTTTTTGCTTATGTGGTGCTGAGGAATCGAACCCAGGGCCTTGAGCATGCAAGGCAAGCGCTCTACCACTGAGCCACCTTCCCAGCCCGGCATGAGCAGTTTCTATTTGGAGTGGACTTGAACTGGGTCATGCGGATTGTTAAATACATTGGATGTTGCCCCCAGAGGCCAGTCTCCAATGACAGGGCGAATCTGTCTTTTGAAGGAGGAGCTCCTGAAAAGGAAGGGTCTGCCTCTTGTTGTGGCTGCCACCCAACCCCCCCACCCCCATGTGCCCCTTGCAACGCTGCTGCCCTTCAGGCTGCCACTCACCAGATGGAGTAGCTGTGGCAGAAGTCCAATGCCGACACAATCTGGCGGAAGAACTTCCGGGCTTCCTTGGGCGTCAGTCTCCCCTTCTTGACCAAGTAGTCAAATAGCTCACCCCCAGACACGTGCTCCAGAACCAGGTACCTAAGAGATACGGAGGAGGCAGAGGGCTGGAAGGGACATGGAAGACCTAGGGCCTGGTGTCCCTCTTCCATTGGTCCTGAAGGCAAAGCCCCCCCCCCACATTCCCATAAGCCTCTGAGATACAAGAGCCTCATTTCCATGACCCACTGGGAGAAGGGACTCCAATCTCAGCCGCCAGTGTCTAGGAAGCCCACACTTCATTCCCAGAGTCCCAGGTCAATTTCACAGAGATCTATGCTTTGATTCAGAGTTGTTTTTAGAAGATAACTCCCTTGGCAGGGGGAGGTCAGAAACCCCAGTTCCCACGGGACTGTGGGAAATAAAGACCTTACTCCCATTCCTTCCTGAGAAGCCAAGTTTTTAATTCCCACACTTTTAATTAGAAAATCAAATTCTCATTTTTTCTCTAGCAGGAAAGATAGGAGTGTGCACCAATAGGAGACTACAACTCCCACCAGCCTCTGGGAAGTAATGTCCCAATTTCCATCAAGCACTTGTATCCTAACGCTCCAGAAATCCGGCCAGACAATAAGAGGTTAAATTTCTCATTTTCCATGTGCTCGTGGGAAACGATGGCTCAGTTTCCACAAATTCTTGGACACCAGAGAGTCCTGTGTGAAGCACAACTCCCATGGGCCCTCTCCACACTGATGGTGGATGGGGAGTGGTAATTCTACCTGTTGTGACAATGGCCCCCTGCCCTGCTGCCACTGCAGGGCTGAAAACTACAACTCCCATCAGCACCCAGGGCAGGTCTGCTTCCTGTTCTAGCTTGATGGATGTTCAGAGTCACTTAGTCCCCGAGGACTGGGTGACGGGGGTAGGACTCTGTCCCCTCTTCTGCTGCCTAACACAGCTGTCTGGCCTTTGGGTCGGCAAAGTCTGTACGAAGGGACTTATTCTTTAGAGCCCAGACAGCTGGACCTCACTGACATCTACAGTATCTGTATGGACTTACAGATACCAACACAGGACCCTTAAAGGAGGTCTAATGTTGGGGTGTTCAGCCATGACACCTGGATGATAGCCTTCATTGCTCCAGAGTGTGATTCAGAAAGGTTCTTCCTAGCCGGGCGCTGGTGGCTCACGCCTGTAATCCTAGTTACTCAGGAGGCTGAGATCTGAGGATCGCAGTTCAAAGCCAGCCCGGGCAGGAGAGACCGTGAGACTCCTATCTCCAATAAACCACCAGAAAACGGGAAGTGGCGCTGTAGCTCAAGTGGTAGAGCGCTCGCCTTGAGCTGAAGAGCTGAGGGACAGCGCCCAGGCCCAGAGTTCAAGCCCCAGGACTGACAAAAAAAAAAAAAGAAAGAAAGAAAGAAAGAAAGGTTCTTCCTACGTGCATAAGCAAAAAAAGGGCTGTGCACCCTAGGTAAGCTGGCTCTGGTTGAGAGTGTCAACACTCTTACCTGTATACACAGGTACAGTGTATATATACAGGTATACGGTGTACATACAGGTATATGGTGTGTGTACAGGTATACAGCGCGTGTACAGGTATATAACATATATACTGGTATGTACCAGATATCTGGGTATTTCAGCATGAGTGTTTAGCAGGTATACTCCTGCAGTTGAGGAAGTGAAGGCTGGGGCTGGGGGCAGTGGGAGGCTCAGCCTCTGTCCCCCTCTGTCCCCTACTCAGGATGATTGGGCCACAGTCCTGCACTAGGTACAGGTGAGCCTGAGAGTGGCTGGGGCGTGTTGGACAAAAGGGACTAGGCCTTTGGTAGTGCAGCCCTAAAGCTCCCATCTTCCCAGGCCCCACTAGGGGCCTATTTCTGGGAAGGTCTCACCCTAGCTTCGTGGGGAGGGCAGATGGGGTGCTGGGTGGCTATAAATAAATACCTACAAATATTTCTTGTTCTCATACACGTCGTGGAGCTTGAGCACGTGCGGGTGTTCGATGAGTTTCAGGATGGCGATCTCTCGCTCCACCTGAGGGACCATAGGAACCAAGGTCAGTGTGGCCTCTCTGTCTGTGCCCCCCTCTCAGCCCGAGGAATCCCTGTCTCACACACACACACACACACACATACACACACACACACACCTTCATCAGCACTGATTCCGACAGCTTCTCCCGATTCACGATCTTGATGGCAACCTTCTGACCCGTGATGCAATGCACCCCAAGTTTAACAAGCCCTGGGGAGCAGGGTACAAATGTGAAGTGTATTCCTGGAGTTGTCCCCTCCCCCCCGCAAACCTTAGCTCTCAAGTCTCTGCTTTGCCACTTGGTTTCCTCTGCCTTCCTGCAAGCTCTTTAACAGTAGCCTGAAACAGCCTGCCCAGAACTCCTTCCAGCTGGCCACCTGGCCAACCCTTCACCTCTTAGGCTTACTCTGATCCTTCTGGTATGGTTTGCCTAGGTTTGTCTTTCCGTATTTTGTTTCTCACTCTCTTCCAATCTGCCTCCTTCAAGTCTCTGTTTCTCCCATCAGTTCTTGAATCCTCTGTCTTTGAGTCCTTTACAAAGCCCCAGGTATCTCAAAGAATATCATCTCCCATCTTTTCCTTTCCCTTTCTTTCAAACTTTGGCTCCTCAATTCCTTTGCCTTTTGAAATCACAGTCCAGAGCCCACGAGCTCCACTACTCTTGTCCAGATTCTAGTTCCAGGATGGACCACCCAGCCCTCAGATCTGCACATCTTCCCCTGTGACCTCCGGGGTCTGGACCACAATCCTCCACCTCCTCCCGATCGGGATGGAGGCAAAAGTTCTCCTCCATCAAATCTGGGTGTCAAGACCCCGGCCTTTCTCTCTGAGCCAGGAGTCCGGGTGCCTGCCTCCTCCCTCAGACCTGGAGGTCCAGGCCTCTGCCCCCTGCCTCCCTCAGTGGGAGAATTCAGGTCAGCAGCACCTTCACAGGTCACCGCGGGGGCCTGAGGGGGGTGGTCAGGCCTCCTTCCAGGCCTGTCTTAGACCTCGGACCCCCTCTTCACAGGGCCTGTCTGAGGGGAGGCACCCCCCCCTCCCCAGCAGCAGGGAGGCTTGGGGGAGGAGGCCGGTGGCTGGCACCTCACACCCAGGAGGGTCACCGCTCTCGGGGCTCCTCCCAGGAGACCCTGCTCCTCCTCTCCACGCCCCAGCAGCTGTCAGGGGACCCCATGCACCCCCTCCCCGCCTCCCCCCAGCCTGCGGGGCAGGGCAGCGCTGGCTCTCCCAGGCCAGAGGTCAGCGGGAGAGAGGCCAGCACCAGGCGGCCTCGCCTGCACCTGCACCACCCCGCCCCGGCCCCGGCCTCCAACAGCCCCAGTGGGGTCGGGCTGGAGGCATGGGGGGCGCAGGCTGGGTCCCCAGAGCGTGGGG